CCAGAGTTCCACCGCAACTAAATATGAGTTTTTAGAAAATATTTTAAATTTTAACTATTAATATATTAAATTAATTAAACGTGGAATGTCTGAAAATCATAACTATAACTATTGAGAAGACATCGTGTGCGATCACTCTAATGTATGAATCAGTGTTGCCACTTGCAATATTTTTAATTTTATTTACATTTAATTTAATTCAAAAATAATAAACATTTTAAATATTAGCTTGTTAAATTTAGTTATTTTTATAAAAAATATAAATAACACTTTGCAACAAATTTTTGGTCTTCGAATCTTTCCCGAGCAAGACCAACTGGAAATGAAATAGACAATTAATAGACCCAATTCCCCAAAGGGTTTTAAAAAGTTAGCTCGTATTGTTAATTTATAGGCATTTTAAACCAAACTTTTATCAGGTAAATTTTCTTATATGTAGTATTAAAAAATGTTGAGCAGACCCTCTCTGATTTTGATGAAATTCGGTACACGCATTGTTTTCACACATTAAAAATTTATTTCTAAGAGTTTTTCTAAAAAGGGTTAAATTTGATATTGTATAATATACATATTATATTCTAACATATTTATCTTATTTATGTGTCGTAGTTTGACAATATTTTATTTGAAATATTAAGGTTTTAAAATAAGGATAATAATATCAAAAAATGTCCTTGAGTCAAGGATGTCTTAAGAACGGTATCTCCCATATTCCTTTGAAAATTAGTTTATAATATCAGCAACAACATATAAAAAAATAAGAGTTAAACCATCCATAGAAATTCTAATTTTAGTAAACTAATCCGTTTTACTTCTGTACAAATTTGAACATTTTTGAAAATTTTTAGTACAGTATCTACTAACAACTATTGAAATAGGAAATTAAAGCCAACAATTTATAAACATTAATATATTTAAATATCTTAGACTTTAAATAGTCAAATATAATTGAGCAATTTATATATTGACTTATTTCATTGGATTACATACATATAAAATACATATATGGGAAAATTGTTCACAAAATTGCAAAACTTTAAGTGGCTATAAATTTAAAACTAGAGCTAACTTTTTTAAACCTTTTGGGAATTTTGGTCTACTAATGCTCTACTTTCATTTCCCGTTGGTTTTATTCGGGAAAGATTTTCTTGTTGAACATTGTAATTAAATAAATAACTATAAAATAATATATAAAATAAGGAATATTTCTCAGATAAACACATTTTTTAATAGTCAATTGGGTGTTATTTCGCCAAATTTGTATAAATTATTAAAGTATATTTGTTAAACATATTTATTTCAATATTTAATTAACAAATATTTTAAAAATAAACATATTTATTGTTAAGCAATATAATAGAAACAACATTTAGGAATCATAAATATGGCAACACTAACAAAAAAATGTCACACGCCTTTTGAGTCTCCATCTAAACTAGGGCTTCGTTCCCGGGAAGCATCGGGAAAAAATTCCCGGGAAATGTAGTGATTTTTAGCTTCCCGATTTTCAGGAATTTTAGTCGGGAATCCCGGGAATTAAAAACTAGTAAAAATGCAACCCTTCTTATTGTAACACATTTTATACAACAAAAATAGACAGGTAGTCCTTCAAAAAGTTGCCGCCGGGACACTTGAATACATACTCATATGTATGTATTTATAAAGAAAATAATAAAGTATTTTATTTACTTTATTTAAATAAAGATTGGCTATCGTGTCCTCAGCTCTACTAGCGTTATCTCTAAAATATCGTTACCGAACTACCGTTATTTTATATTATTTTTAAATAATTTTTCCTATATTACACCTTTCAAATATCCTCTTATCTCACTACAATTACCACTAAAATAACGTTACCGAAATAATCCAAATACCGTTACCCTTATCTTTTCACTGCTTCAAAACTATTGCCAACCCTGATTTTATATATATGTACATACATATTTCTAAGTTACATGATATGTTAAAAAAATTCAAAAAACATCGCGTAAACCCTTTTTTTATTTTATCGGGAATTCCTGGGTTCCCGGGAATGTGAATTTGGAAACCCTAATCTAAACGTTCATAATTTTACGAACGGAATTCAATCCCATGTCTATATTAAACTAATGTTTATTATGCTAAACGTCAAATTGTTATCATGACAAAAAATTAGCAGGTACAGACAGCATTTATTAGTGTTTTAGCGTCGTTATGATAGTGTTGTCTAAACAATTGTTTAGACAAAGTTGTCTTGATAACAAACGTAATTATATTGAAAAATTTCTATAGAATTTTGTTTTTGTGCAATTAAAATGGATTTTTAACATAAGTTTTAGTAAAATTAGTGTTTATTTACAAAATTTTCATTTAATTTTAATTGTTTTTATAAAATATAGCATTATTTCAGTAAAATTATCTTAGCATTATATTAGCATTTTTTTACCCCTATGCAAAGCTCTAAAAGAACTCATTCCCTAATTCTTTTTTTTTAAATTGAGTTATATTTTAAAGAATTAACCATTCTTTAATCTCAATTCCTATGATTTAATTCCTAGAATTAATTCTTAAAGCTTTCGATGTAGTTGAATGAATTCTCTAATGAATTAATTCTTATAGAATGTTAAATTCCTTCTGAATGAATTAATTTTGTTTGCATTCAATCTGTTACAAATTGAATTAAAATAAATTTCAACAATTCCTATTGATTTTTGAATTCCCTCTGAATGATAAAAATTTTGTTTTAATTCAATCTATTAGAAAATTAATTTAAACATTTTTCCACCATTCAATTTGAAATAGATTGAATGAAAGTTTTGTTTTAGAATTCAAAGGCATTCTGTATATTAACAATTGAATTAAATTTTTTTTCAATCAATTTGTAATAGAAGGAATTAAACAGACAAGAATGATCATGCAATTGAATTCATTCCCATAAAGAATGAATTCTCTTAGGAATTAATTCTATGGAATATAAAGCCAAGGAATTCAGCTTTAGAATGGTACATTCAAAGAATAACTTTAAAGAATGGTAAATTAAAAAATGTAAAGCCGAATTAAAAATATAAGGGAATTAATTCCAAATAGAATTCATTCTTTCCCAAGCTTTGCCCCTATGCATTAACATAAACAAAAAACTGACAATTTTTCGGCCGACGTTTTGTGAAGTGCTGTGATAAATATTTGTCTAATATAGACACGGGATAAAAGAGAATTGAGAAAAAAACCCTGCGACATGTCCCCTCAGTCGAAGCGATATGACCACACATCAAATTTGTTGGCCAAAACTCACATGTACACCCAGTAAACAAATTTTTCAGACATGTATGATGTCAGAAATTTTCTGAAATAATTCTTATACGTTACAGAATTTTTAACGAATTTCTAAATTTCCCTTAAACATTTTACAGAATAATCGGCAAACTTTTTGTTAGACTTTTCTGCACATTTTCTGAAGTACTAAACGATTAACATCAGACTTGCTTGTGTTACGAACCTGTTATCTCGGGAGGCCAGAATTTACCCTGCCAACTTTGCGGCGTCATCTCATAGGAGGAGTTCTCAACCCTCTGGCTGGATCGCAACAAGAAAAAAAACTCTGAAAACTAAAATTTCCAAACACTTACATCGTTTTGGTAAAACCACTCAATAGGGAGGTAGGTGTTGACCTCCAATCGCCCTTTTCCCAACCATGACTGTTGCCTTTCCTGTGTCCATTATCCACAGTCCCATTAACCCACCATTCGTCGCCCTATCTAAATCAACAATCCCCTAAATAGTAATTACTCAAATTTCTTCATTTTCTTAGCATACATAACATAAAAATTTTATTGACATTGGTTTAATCTTAGTCATATATAACGTATTTCTTAACTTTTCTAAACATTCATACTTAATCTTATTCATTAATTCCTAATTTATTATTTCTTTTATTTGGCCGTTACTTTTTGTTTTCAAAATTTTAGTTTCGTATCGATTTTTTTATAACGCATATCTTAAAAAAACTGAATAATTATATCTTTCTTTAATTCTTATTTTCTCATTTTTTTTTCTTAGTTAGAATACCGGATGTTCGCTTTCTAGTTTCCTACGCCTACATCAGATGTAGTTCAAAGCTGCCAAAAATGAACAACATCCCTCCAATGACACGCTAATGTAAAATTCATAGGTTTTACACCCGAATTTGAAGCACTTCGGGTTACTAGTTGTGATGAAAATTCTACATCTTTTTCCACACTTTTTTTGCTGGGAAACGCTTATGTAAATTTCATTAATTTTTCATCAAAATTTGAAGTACTTCGAATATGTTGTTGGTAGTGACTTTTCTACAGCTCTTTTCTCATTTTTAACTGTGTTTTAATTTGTAAGTATATGTTTGGTTTATAAAAGCGAAAAGTATGCAATCGCATTTTTAGATGTGATTAAGATGTCGTTTGTAAAGTATGACATCAATTATTTTTTGCTGGGAACATACAATACTACACTCTCAAAGGACACAATATTTTGTTCACAATAACACAACTTAAAATACTTAAAACTAATTTATTTCTAACTTATTAATCTTATTTTTTTATTGTTCTTTTTTTTATATTTTGGATATTTTTTTTTCTTTTATATCGCCTAATGGCTAGACTTGGCTTTCTTATTTTTCTTTCGCCAATAAAACATAGTCTTAAATATTTTCTTTTATATTGCCTAAAGGCTGTTGTTTTGCTTTTGCAAATCAATATGGCTTTTGTTATGATTGTCAGGTGGTTGAGTGAAACAATGGAGTTTAATTCTAACCCAAAGTTAACCTTTATTTAAAAACAATAATTAATAATAAAACAAATAACAAATTAATTTAAAATAGTTAACGCGTATATGACTGTGTGATGTTTACTAGACGACTTAACAATGTACAATAAACATAACAAAAAGTAATAGCGGCAAACTATGTATGTATGACAATATAAAAGTATGTATATAAGACAATATAAAAACGACAGTTATAATTTTAGTACGAAGAACATAGAAGTTGCTTATTTGGGGTTGCCAACATCTCTCTTTCTTTTAAGAAGATGATAATCTGGAGTCCATACAGGAGGATGCTTCCTACGATTTGACCTTCGAAGAGCTGGGGAAGCTTCATCTGTTTGAACTCCAGGATCTGTTGTTGAATTACTAGTCGATGCACATTCTTCTAATGTTGACGTTAACTTTTTTAAAGTTGTCGGTTGACTATTCACGTTTGTTGAACCAGATGGTGAAGTAACTAGAAGTGGATCTTGAACAGGTTGCAATTCATCTGTAGATGTAGTCTGTCCATCAGTGAGTGGTACATATTCAAATTCATTGTCTCTCATATTTTGATCTCTAGGAGGAGTCTGTTGAGCTGTTAAATTGAAATAATCAAATAAAACATCATTAGCTGCTATGTTCTCAGATTCAGAATAACGAGGTCTTAGTTGGTTTGTATGAGATCTAACTGCACGAAATTCAGGAATGTTTTCGATTTCGACTTCGTAATTGACATTTCCGAGTTTTCGTTTGATAATACCTGGGAACCATTCAGATTTATTTAATTTGTATAATTTTGCGTAAACTTTCTGACCAATATTGTATATCCGCTCTTTAGCACCATTACGTTTGTTATATTGTTCTTCCATTTTCTCGTTTCGTTGTAATTGGGATTCTGTTGGTTTTTTAAGTAGATCAAGATTAATCCTTATTTTTCTCCCCACGAACAATTCAGAAGGCGATTTGCCACCAGAGCTAGGATTTGGTGAAGAACGATAACATTTTAAAAATGTTTGTAGATTTTCACTAGCAGTGCCCATTCCTTCGAGTTTTTTCAAAGCGCGCTTTAAAGTGTCAACGAACCTTTCTGCCTGACCATTTGATTGAGGGTGGTATGGAGCTGTGAATTTGTGTAAAATACCATTTTCTTGACAAAACTTGAAAAACATGCTGCTGGAGAACTGAGTTCCATTATCACTCACTATTAATTCAGGGTTTCCAAACAATGAAGTGAAATCGCGCATACAATTTATAATTGAATTTGAAGAAATCGATTTAATTTGATAAATTTGTGGCCACTTCGAAAATGAATCTACTATTACGAAATAATAAAAATTATCAACAGGACCGGCTATATCTATATGAACTCTTTCCATAGGTTGTTTTGTTAATGGCCATGAATAAAGTGAAGTTTTTGGTAACGATTTTGCTACTGAAGAGCATTTGGTACAATTCAGTACATACCTTTTAATTTCATCATCCATATGGGGCCAATAAACATAACTGCGAGCCAGTGCCTTTGTCCTCTCGATACCATGATGACCTTTGTGTAATTCTTTTAGAATGCGTTTTCTAAAACAGCTGGGTATTATAATACGCTTCCCGTACATAACACAATCATCAACAATACTTAAATCTTGTTTTCTCGAAAAATAACACTGAATATCAGAAGATTTTTCATTTGGCCACTTACCAGTTTGTAAGAATTTTATAAGATCTTGGAGATTTGAATCCTTTTTAGTTGCAGCACAAATCATGTTGAATGTTAACGGCAAGGCATTTGTGATATCGTTAATTACCTTTTTGATGTCATCTTCCAATTGAATACAAGCGATGATAGTGTCTTCGTTTGGTTTTGGTACATTGAAAATTAGACGAGATAAAATATCAGCTGCTCCGAATTCATGAGTTGAAATGTATTGCAAAGTAAAATCGTATGACATGAGTGTAAGAGCCCATCGCTGGAGACGGTTTGCAGAATGTGCCGGAATTCCTTTTTTATTTCCAAAAATTGAAAGCAGGGGCTTGTGATCCGTTTGAAGAATAAATTTTCTACCAAATAAATATTTATGGAATTTATTTACAGCGAAAACCAGCGCCAATTTTGAGAGTAATTTTTCTCAGCTGGAGTGAGAGAGAAAACATGACAGATGTATGCACCCAGTCCAACGTTTGAGGCGTCAGCTGCTACTTTGATAGGAAGCTTTGGATCAAAGTGAGTAAGCAACAAATCAGATGACAGAAGCTGTTTAAACCGTTCAAAACTGCGTTGACATGAAGATGACCAATTCCATGCTGTGTTTTTCTTGAGTAAATTATCCAAAGGATCTCTAAGCTTTCTCATTTCATGTAGAAATTTACCGTAGTAGTTAATTTATTTTTATCTGGATAAACGCCTTTTTTGTCGAAATGGTAACCAAGGTATGTACACGAAGTTTTAAAAAATTTGCATTTTTCAAAATTCACTGTAATGTTGTATTTTTTTAAACGTTCAAATACCTGTTTTACAGCTGCTATATTTTCTTCGCGTGTTGGTGTAGCTACAATAACATCGTCCAGATAAGGAAAAACGCCTTTAATACCAGAAATAATTGATTCCATACACTGTTGAAAAGCACCAGGAGCCGATCTCACACCTGGGCCAAGCCGATTAAAAGTGTGCAAGCCACGATGAGTGTTAATAACTAGTAGTTTTTTCGTGTCATCGTCGACTTCTATTTGCATGTAGGCATTATTTAAATCAATTATTGAAAATATTGAACAGTTGTTAAAATTTATAAAAATTTCATCTGGAAGAGGTAGTGGAAACGTGTGAGGTTCTAGCTGATCATTTAGTCCAGTGGAGTAATCCCCACAAATACGTAGATTACCAGAAGCCTTTTTCACCACCACAATGGGTGCAGCCCATTCAGAAAAATTTATTGGTGAAATGATACCTTCACGTTCAAGTTTTTGAATTTCACTGTCTAGTTGATCTTTTGCTGCATACGCTACTTGCCTTTTAGGACGAAAAACAGGAACGACTTGTGGTTTAATTTGTGGGTGAACTTTAAAATGAGTGCAGTGTCCAATTTCATTCCTAAAAACTTCTGGGTATGTTTTACGCAATTCAGATTCTGTGAGTGTGTTGTTAACTTGAAGTTGTTTACACGATGTATACGAATCAATTGGTTGGTTCCACAATTTAAATTGTTCCATTAAGTCAGAACCGAAAAGATTCAAATCGGGAAGTGATGATACCAAAATGTTGCAAGTTTGGTTTTGATTAGTGATAACCACTGTTGGCTCGCCGCAGAGACAAAATAAATAATTTTAACAGCACTCAATTCGATTTATTTTCAATATTTATTTTTTATTAATTAATTGCTTAACCAAAAGGTTCAAGTAGAAACAGGAATACAAAGTATGAGAGCGCTTTAAAATTTTATTGTGTTTTGCCTCGTCTTACATACTTATACATGTGTATATAAATGTATACGAATACTAGCAAAAAATGAGGCAAAACAAAATAAATAAGTTAACATTAAAGGAGATGAAATAAACAAATTGTAACTCTTATAAAAGTATATATGCAAAATGAAAGTTAACCAATTGTGGACGGCGGCAACATTCCCCCACCCGTAAGCGAGTCAAGGGGTACGAGCTTGCTCATGATCATCGCCGACGTTCAAAACAGCAGGTTTTCATCAACAACAATGACTATGGCACCGACTGATACTGGGGGTACTTTAGAAAACCATTTGCTTCTACGGGAAATTACCGGAACGTATTCCTTCAACCAACGTTGCCAAAAGTGGTCGGCAAATTATTGTGTTTGATGCCACCGCTGACGTAAATTTTTATTATCTTCAAAAAACGGTTTGTAGCCATCACAGCTGCCAAGCAATAGATGATTCGGGGTGATAGCATCATCATCTTCGTGTTCAATTGAGACGAATGTTAGCGGCCGAGAATTTATTATCGACTCTATCTCACACATCGCGTTTTTTAGTGTTTCGTCGTTTAAATTTAAGCTGGGATGTAAAACGTAAAGAACATTTTTCACCGATCGTATAAGCCTTTCCCAGGCTCCACCCATATGTGGTGCACCTGGTGGGTTAAATATCCATTTAGTTTTTCCAAATGCGGATGATATATTAGACAAATTAATATCTTTTACTTTGTCGTTTAACGCTTTTTCTGCTGCTTTAAAATTTGTACCATTGTCTGTGTATATCTCTCTAGGTACACCACGCCTCGCAATAAAATTGCGTATACATAAAATGCACGAGCTGGTATCTAAGCTGTGAGAGATTTCTATATGAATAGCACGTAACGTGATGGTTGAAAGGCAGCAATATCTCGTCATCGTGATTGTTGAGACGTTTAGCACGGCTTTGACATCTTATGATTCCGTAATCATCAAGATAGGTGTTCAGGCGGTATAGTTTACTTGATTTTTCGACACTTTCTCCATTTTGAAAGTTGTTGAAAGTTTCTTGGGTCTATGCGCAACCACTGTAGTACGGTCTTAGAGTCTGACCACCAGTATGTGGATGATATTCGCAGACGGCGAATCTGTTTTATTTTGTTTGCTAGTCTTACGCCAATAAGCGCCGCTTGCAGTTCCATTCTTGGTATTGACAAAGGTTTTAGTGGCGCTACTTTGGCCTTAGAGGCGATAAGCGTGACGGTAACAACGCCGCCGGTTTGCACAAGCAGATATCCCCACAAATCTCAATTTTTCCAATGCGAAAAGCCAGAAGTATATCAACTAAGGGATTCAGCAAATCCGGACCACTGAGCAAAAAATCATTTAGTGATATTCCGTTTGACTTTGCCGGTTTGTTAGGGTTGAATGTTAAGAAAATTGGGAGATACCATACTCTTTCAGCATGATTCGCAATTTCGGCCGGACTTAATTTTTCGGCGTATCCTTTATCAAGCAAATTAGTAATTTGAGATTGCATCTTTTCTAGAAGCGATCTATCTTTAACGGAGGCACATAAGCCGACGAAAAGCGTTATCGTAGCTGTTTGGCAACTGTTGGTGGCTATTTTTCCACATCAAACCAACCTCGTAGCGTTCACCTATTTGTTTACATGTCGACTTCAATATTTCCATTGCACGAGAGTCATCTGTAGATAGTAATGTAGACGGAATTGGCTTTTCCATGTTAAAGTACGTTTTCACCAACTCGTGAAGCCCTTCGTAACGTTTTTGGCACACACAAGTGTGGATGTTCAGCATATACTGAGTTGAGCTGTTTGTCTTACCTCCCTGTATTGTCCAGCCAAGACGTGTTTTTGTTGCTATTGGTTGCTGCCAACCGCCTTCCCGAACTTTGATAGGAACTGCCAGCTTCCAATTATTTGCACCAATTAAAATCATAGGCCTTGCATTATTATACGATTGTATCGGCAAATTTTTTAAGTATGGGAACCTTTTGGCCATTACAGACATGTTGATACTTTGAGATGGTAACTCCAGGTGCTTAACTGTATGAACATTCAAAAGCTCAAACTGCGCATTGTTTTGTGTGTTTGACACTATTAAAGAAGTTCTGACGGAATGATTTTCTTCACGCGTTGTCCCGCCAGTCCACTGTAGGCAGGCACAGGGGGTCAGGGGTACCATCTAATGGCAGGTTACCAAATATACTCTGATCTACTAGAGTGACAGACGAGCCTTCATCTAGAAATGCAAAGGTATTAATAATTTTATTTTTTAAATTAATGCGGATTGGCAATATACGAAATAGCGGTCTATCCTCGCCGTCGTAGTGGTGTGTATTAATTTGAACATTCCGCTGAATATTATCGTTTTCATTCGTACTTACAGTTTGGGATGTCGACTGACTTTCGGTGTTCATAACCTTGTGTAACAATGGATGATGTTTGTACTTACAGCCAAATATACCACATTCTTTGATCTTATGACATTTTCCTTTGTGCTGGTTAAGACAATGGCGGCACAAATTATTTTGCTTCACTAAATTCCATTTTTGGTTTAGCGGTAAATCATTAAAGCTGCTGCACTGATGTACTTTTTGATCCGCAAGCTTACATACAAGGCACAACTTGCTTGTAGTGTTGTTAATCTGTGTGTGAGTATTTACTGAAGCACTTCCCTTGCCAAAGTTTGGTGTTACTACCTTGCTGGCCGCTTCAGCAATTTGGTAGAGCCACACGCTAAATGATTTTACTATTGGAATTCGCTCATCACGTTGATACATTGCCCAATTCAATTTGTGCTGATTTGATAACTTATCTACAAGTTCTTTCACCAACATTGGATTATTGAGGTGAGAATCAAGTCCACATGATTCCATTGTTGCACATATATTCTGTACATTCAGGGCGAACTCAATCTTTGCATCTTTGCATTTGCAGTTATCTTTGCATTTTGTATACTCGCATTCATTTGCATTTGTTGCTGTTGAAAATTAATTGGCATTGATGCTGTCTGCGTTTTGTATGTGTAGATAGGAGCAACTGTATTAAATACTGTCGGAATTGTTGCTGGTAGAAATATATCTGCTGTAGTCATATTATTACCCGTAGACAATGGTCTATTCATAACCTCGTGTTCCGTGGTAACAGATAAGTTTGATGTAACGCCGTTCGAACTTTGCGCTGATACGGGAGCTACTACGGGATGTGCTGAAATTGCTGTTGTTGTTGCATATGTTGACGTGCTTGGAATAGTACTGCCTGTGGCGGTAACAGCGATCGGTGTTGGAGTTGTTAGTGGTATTATTACAGGTGATGACGATGAGCTAGGAACAGTTTCAAATCCCACTGTGTGATTAGGGGCAGCAGCGACCGATGGCGTGTGTTCGCAAATATCGCAGTTCCAACTATAATCGGCCACATTACTATCCACTCCTACACAGGAGTAGTGATTCCAGTTATCGCACTTGTCACACATCACCATGTGATCATCATCCAACTGGTCGCATTTTTTGCAACTATAACCGGCAGCAGTTTTGTCTCTTTCCATATTAAATTTGCAAACTCAAAATTTTTAAACTTTGGCAACAAATTTTTTAAAGAAAGTTTAAGAACAATAAAATTTTAAAGAAATGTTGGCTCGCCGCAGAGACAAAATAAATAATTTTAACAGCACTCAATTCGATTTATTTTCAATAAAGGTTCAAGTAGAAACAGGAATACAAAGTATGAGAGCGCTTTAAAATTTTATTGTGTTTTGCCTCGTCTTATGAAAGTTAAAAGCCAACTAACTAAAAATTCCCTTTTCTTTTGTCATTTATCCCATGCAGTTTAATGCGTTTAAGATATCTACGTGACAAACTCAAAGGGTCCGTTAGTTTTTACAAAAGACATACATACTTATACATGTGTATATAAATGTATACGAATACTAGCAAAAAATGAGGCAAAACAAAATAAATAAGTTAACATTAAAGGAGATGAAATAAACAAATTGTAACTCTTATAAAAGTATATATGCAAAATGAAAGTTAACCAATTGTGGACGGCGGCAACAACCACTGTACACTGAAACTGACCTATTATGTTAATTTCATTTGTAGAAGCATCTCTTGGCTTGTGCTGAGAAATTTTTAAAGTTGGTTTACCAATTTTTACCCAGTTCTTCTTTGAGATGATCGTGACATCCGAACCAGTATCATGTTGAAGAGAGAGATTTACATTGTTAATTTGTAGTGAAATGTATCGTCTATTTTTACATGCTGCTGTGGTTGCATATACGCTTTTTATTGTTTTACGCGTTTTCTTGAAATTACTTTTATTTTGATGTTGCTGATTATTTTTGCTTATATTTGGCTTTTTATCTGGAAAGCATGAGCAAAATCCTTCCTTATGTCCAACTTTACCACACTGTGAGCATTTGTGTGTTGTATAACCACAATCTGTGGTGTACGTTGCTTGGAACTATGAACTGAGTTGACATTTGGATTTTCCTTTGTTGAAACATCGCGTTTAAGACTGTTGATTCGTTCTACTTCAGAGACTAAATTATCCAAATTCAACTAATTTTGTTCAGTTTCAGACTCTAGTAGAGTCAAAAGACTCGTTTTATATTCTTGATCCTTATGCGATCGCCTCTAAATCTGTCATATTCAAAATTGGGAAGGTGCCGATTGGAAGGGCTGCTACAACAAGCCTCGAAAAGGACACTAAAAAACCTAAGACCACAGCATCAGTATCCACTACTGATAACGTTGAGGAGTCAAATCCTAAAATCGAGGAATTTACCATTAACTCGCCAG